AGAAGTTGGCGCACATGACTGAAAATGCGTAAATTATGGCGCGTCTCCACCAAAGTTTTGTTGCCAACCAAAGACATTTAAGTAGTAGTCAGGGGCGTAGCTACCGCCGTATCAGCCGTATCAATGATACAGGGCCCCCGAGCTACAGGGGCCCCGAACGTGTGTAAACAAAAAATCCAAGGACTTTGGGACAGGAAAGGCTATCACTATCGTCTATAGAAGCAAAGAATTTAGAAAAACTGAAATCGTCTTCAGCTATGAATGCCACCGAATCTTCTTCAGCTATGTTCGCTGAACAAAAGGCAAGAAAAGTGTATATTTGATTTTAATTGTTTGGCTAGCTTAGTTCCTAGGAGTATTAATTGTAAGTAATAACGAATATCCCCGTGTAATAATCCCCGTATAGTGGCGGGTAAGAATACTCACTAACCCATATCTTCCCGTGGGTGTCGTAAGAGGCGACAGAGGGAAACTGAGGCAAAGGATGGGCAGCAACATCTTTCTGTTAACAGCAAAAAACCAATAAAAAAACTGCGGTTGCCAACCCGCTCGCCAAACGTGGCAACTATGGCAATATACCCACCATGAAAGTAACGAAGGGACGGCCCCCATTCCCCGGCGGCCCCGCTATTCCTGGCTACGGTGGCGACCATGGTAACGGCGGGGCAGGGGGTGCTAAGAATCTCCGGTGGAGGTTCGGTTGCCACCTACGACTACTCGACCTGGCAACTTAAAACGCACGCACCCGAGGACTGACGAGAAGATCCTGGAGCTGGAAGAAGAGATTGACAAGTTGCACTGGAATATCATAGGGTTATCCGAGGTCTGAAGAGAGGGGGAGGACACGGTAATCCTCGAATCCGGCAACTTGTTCTATCAACGGGAGGGCAACCATCTGTCCCAAGGAGGTGTCAGATTTATCATCCACACGTCTGTCATTAACAACGTTGTAATGATTGTGAGTGTGTCGACGAGGGTTGCGTACCTTATACTCAGAATCACCAAACGGTATTCGCTGAAGGTCATACAGGTTTACGCACCAACTTCGGCACACCCCGATGAGGAGGTGGAGGAAATGTAGGAGGATATCTCTAGAGCCATGCATTTCTCCACAACCCACTATACGATGTTAATGGGCGACTTCAACGCAAAACTAGGTACAAGAGAAAACGGTGAGCTGAAAGTAGGGAAATTCGGAATAGGGCAACGGAACCCAAGGGGCCAGCAGCTAGCCGACTTCATGGAGAAAGAGAGACTCTTAATGATGAACTCTTTCTTCCAGAAGCGGCCCCACAGGAAGTGGACCTGGTCGAGCCCCGACGGTTCGACAAAAAATGAGATTCACTTCATTATGACGACCAGATGAAAACTGTTTAGTGATGCCTCAATGATCGCGAGGGTGAAAACCGGCAGCGATCACCGGATGGTGAGAGGCACACTGAACCTAAACGTTAAGTTGGAGAGGTCTCGTCTAATGAAGTCAACGCTCCGTCCCCCTCGTGTTCTAATCCAAAGTCCCGAAACCTTTCAGCTCGAGCTACGAAACCGTTCAGTGCCTAGAAGATTGCAATGCAGTGGACGATATGAATGACAAGCTCGTGGAAACTGTCGGAGCTAAGTTTTGCAAGACCCGCCGCAAAAGAACACAAAAACTCTCCGATCACACTCTTAATCTCATGGCTGTTAGACGGGATACGAAGCTGCAGTTTTCAGTAGATTTGACAGTATACAGGCAACTGAACAGACAGATCTCCAAATGCATGCGGCGGGACTTACGCAACTTTAATACTGCTCGTATTGAAGAAGCGATCGAGTGGAACCAGGGCTCCAAAGTATTTGCTAGAGATTTGTCTGCCAGAATGAGCCAACTGTCAAAGCTGAAGACTGAGTGTGGCAGATTCCGGGACACCTGAGATTTTGAGTGAGATTGAGAGGTTCTATGGGCAGCTGTACACAACATCATCGTTGGAACCACACGCAAGTGTGAGTAACGATCCAATAGCGAGTCTTATCCGATACTATTCCGATGATATCCCGGACGTCAGTCTGAGCGAGATTAGAATGGCTCTCCAGCATCTTAAAAACGGCAAGGCCCCAGGCGAGAATGGAATTACAGCGGAGCTTCTGAAAGCGGTTGGAAAACCGGTACATGAAGTCCTTCAGAGGCTCTTTAATTCCGTCCTCCATGGTGGCATTACACCGGAGGCATGGAGCAGAAGTGCGGTGGTCTTGTTCTTCAAAAAAGGTGACTACGCTCTCTTGAAGAACTACAGACCAATTTCCCTTCTGAGCCGCGTCTACGTGCTGTTTTCTAAAGTCATTACGAATCGTCTTGCGCGCAGACTTGACAACTTCCAGCCTCCCGAACAAGCCAGTTTGCGAAAAGGCTTTAGCAACATAGACCACATACATACCCTTCGGCAAATTGTACAGAAGTCCGAGGAGTACAATTTGTCACTATGTCTGGCGTATGTGGACTATGAGAAAGCCTTTGATTCCGTCGAAATTTGGGCGGTGCTGCAGTCCCTTCAGCTGTGCTAAGTTGACTGTCGGTATATCGAGGTGCTGAAGTGCTTGTACAGTAGGGCTACGATGGCAATCCGAGTACGGAACCAGAGTACGAAACCTATCCAATTGCAGAGAGGTGTAAGACAGGGTGACGTTATATCCCCGAAACTCTTCACCGCTGCATTGGAAGATGTTTTCAAGCTTCTGGACTGGAAAGGATACGATATTAACATCGATGGCGAGTACATCATTCACCTTCGATTTGCCGACGATATAGTCCTTATGGCAGAATTGCTGGAGGACCTAAGCACTATGCTCTATGACCTCAATAGTGTCTCCCAACGGATAGGTCTTAAGATGAACATGGACAAAACAAAGATCATGTTTAATGTCCATGTCACACCTATGCCGGTAGTTGTTGGGAGCACAAAGCTCGAAGTTGTTGACGAGTATGTTTACCTGGGACAAATAGTCCGACTAGGTAAGTCCAACTTCGACCGAGAGGTCAATCGACGGATTCAACTCGGTTGGGCAGCGTTTGGGAAATTACGGCACATCTTCTCGTCAGATATACCTCAAAACTTGAAAACGAAACTGTACAACCAGTGCGTGTTGCCAGTGATTACTTATGGAACTGAGACGTGGTCCTTCACTGCTGGCCGGATGAAGAAGCTCAAGGTTGCTCAGCGAGCTATGGAGAGGGCTATGCTCGGAGTTTCTCTGCGTGATAAACTTAGGAATGAGAATATCCGCAATAGAACCAGAGTGACCGACATAGCCCAACGGATTAATAAGCTAAAGTGGCAATGGGCCGGGCATATAGCCCGAAGAATCGACAACCGATGGGGAAAAAAGGTTCTCGAGTGGCGGCCTCGTACCGGCGGACGAAGTGTAGGGCGTTCCCCACTAAATGGAGTGACGACCTAGTAAGATATGGAGGAAGTCGATGGATACAGGTGGCTCAGGACCGTGCTTTGTAGCATTCTTTGGAGGAGGCCTATGTTCAGCAGTGGACTTGTGAAGGGTTGTAATGATGATGAATAAGGAATAATCAATAATATATAATAATTTTAATTCAAAGCAAAAACGCTTGTTTTGTTCCTTTTATGAAATCTTTACTCTTCATTGGGGCCCCCAACAAATTTTGATACAGGGCCCATCTAAGGCACGCTACGCCACTGGTAGTAGTAGTATACCTATTCTATTACCTATATATTTAAATCTCTTTGTTGCCAACACAACAGTTGCCAACACATGTGGCCAACAAAAGTTTCTGTAATCACCTAGTTTTAGCAACAAAACGAAACAATGTCGGGAATTGCGTTTCCATTTTCGGCGGCAACATCAAAGGAATACGCATTTATTCCCTCGGTGGAGACGCTTCTTGGAACATTTTGAAACATTTTCGGATACAAATGTTAGCAACTTTTGTTGAATTGCCAACAGTTGGAAACATAAATGTTGTCAACATTTTTGGTGGAGACGCAGCTTTATAACTACTTCAATAGGGTTTCTTCATCTCCCGGCTTATTTTTTCCCTTCCCGAGTCCCGGGAATCCCATACAAGAATTTCTCGAGAATTCTCGAAATTTTTGAAAGAAGTCATAAAATTTTCATTCACGTTCACGGTTCACGTATAAATTTACTTCAAGTAATTTGACGAATTGTGAAACTATCTTTTGCGGCTAAAATACTTTAAATACGATTTCGCCGGGTATGTGTTGGTTCAAACGTTAGGTTAGGGTCTTTTGAATTGACCGATGTAGACTTCTTTGGTTCCGATGGTTGCTCATTTTCGCCTTCGTCGCCGACTGAAGTGGATGTGTGTTTTTACCTTAATTTTATAGATATGTTCAAAATGCCTTACTAACCAGCTTGTATTTAAAAAAAAATATCGGTAGATATCTTTTTAGGAGATTTAAGGCATTACGTGAACCCTTTACATTTGATCTTAGAGAAATATTTCCGTACATTTGACTTCTCCATTGTGGTATTGTTAAAAGTAACATTAACCATTGTAACAGTGGTAGAGCCACGCGGCAGCTTTTGCTGTCGCACGAATGGGCCGGCTCGAACCGGGGTGGTACCACGACCTCACAGAATACCAGCGTGAAGTAGAGGTTTACCTCTGCGTTTCGCTTGGTGAGTGCAGGTGGCCGGAGGCCCTTTTTACTGGAAATGAGGCATTCCATCTTAGTCCTCACGGGTGACAACCCATCTGCATTTTGATTCGCAAACGAGGATAGATGTAGATGTCTATGGGCCGCAGCAACCACTTACCATCAGGTGGACTGTGTGCTCGTTTGTTACCCTTATCCTATAAAAAAAAAACTCACTGAACTTGTACTACCTATAGAACATAAAAATATAAAAAATCTTGCGAGTTAAATATTCACGTCACGTCAAATAAAAACCCCTAGCGACATCTATTAAAGATTGTTGTAGGTATAGAAAAATATTTGACAGCTCAACTGAAGGTCAATTCTGTCAAAATGGCTTCGAGATCCAGACGTATCGAGCCGCGCTCGGGCATTGGTAAATTCAATTCTTTCTGAATCTTATAAAAATGTTGCTATTTCTATCAAAAGTTATTCAAATTACGTTTTCGAATAGCAGATTTAGTTTGATTTGTCAATATTTACGCGAATTCTGCCCATGATTTTATTTTCATTAGGGATAAAAATTATATGTCCTGTATTTAGGAATCATGCAGACTGCAATATTGTTATGTCCTGTGTATAGGTTCCCTTACCTGTAAGGGAATTATGTAAATAATATTTTATTTGATATTTGTTTTAGCCTGTTCTGACGATACCGTGCTAGCATTACTAGAAGAATCTGATGTCGATTTTAGCAGCGACGATGATACCCAAAATCCCACATATAATGAACCCACGGAAATCGCTACACAAGAGCGTCGAAGGTATGATTCTAGTGATTCTTCTGTAAATTCAGACTCCTATGATGTTGTTGAGCCACCATCGCCGGCTTTATCGAGTGAATCTATAATACGCCAAGCAACTGGCTCTGGTTTACGCCAAGCAAGATCTTCTCGTCGCCCTCGAAGGTCAACTCAGCCAACCTACAGACAAATACCGTCTCAATCTCAACCTGATGTTGTGGATTTATGGACTGGAAATTTTGAACCTCTCGAAGTAAATCTGTATGAACCAACATACGTGCCAAATTTCGACCATGGATGGTCATACGAACAGTTTTTTGAACGTTATATAAATGAACAAATACTCTTACAAATTGTGGATTGTACAAACAGAACAGCAGTTCATGTAAAAGGCAGGTCACTTGGTCTTACAGTTAAAGAATTAAAAGTTTATATTGGAGTGACAATGATTATGGCTTCATTACAATATCCTCAAATAGACATGTATTGGTCGTCTAAATGGAAACAGCCTATCGTAACATCAGCTATGACACGTCTGCGTTTTTACGCAATTAGAACATCGTTAAAAGTGGTTTATGATCTTGATGTTATCGTCGAAGAGCGTCAAAAAGACAAGATTTGGAAAGTGCGTCCCCTTTTCGAGAAAGTACGACAAGGATGTTTACTTCAACCTCGCACAGCAAAAATGTCTATTGATGAAATGATCATTCCGTTTACTGGTCAATGTTGTATTCGTCAATATAACCCTAACAAACCTAATCCCTTAGGGTTAAAAGTATTTGCATTAGCAACGCCTCAGGGAATGGTTATAGATTTCGAGATATATCAAGGAGACAAGACTTTTCCAGAAATTAGACAGATGGGTTTTGGTCTCGGAGAAGCAGCTATTCTTCGGCTGACCGAAGCACTTGTCCCTGGTCACCACATCTTTTTTGATCGCTATTTTACCACTATCAAATTGTGTGATGAATTATTGAATAAAAGTTTTCACGCGACTGGAACAATTATGAGAAACCGATTGCCCAAAAACTGTATGATGGAAGAAGATAAGAGTTTTATGAAAAAGCAACGGGGTTATTGCGAAATAAAAACACGAGTAGATGGCAAGATGGCAGTAACACGTTGGATGGATAATAAGCCCGTGGTGATGTTGTCAACGCGTTTATCTAATAGACATGCAGATGAGTGTGAAAGATGGTCGAAGAAAAACAAAGTGTATGAACGTGTAAGACGCCCCGAAGTTATCAAAGAAAATAACGAAAATATGGGGGGTCTAGATTTAGCTGTATGCCCTTCACGTAACAGAACAAAAAAGTGGACAATACGAGTAATTTCTCACATGATAGACTTGGCTGTTGCTAATTCATACCTTCAGTTCAAACAGAGAGAGAAGAAAAAAGGCGTTAAAAACGTTATAGGCATACGTGAATTTAAGATGGAACTTGGTGAGAAGTTAATTGCTGATAACTTAGATTCTACAGACACAGATGACCCTGCTGATGAGTTTAAAGAACTTTTACTAAAGCACAAGAAACGTAAGACTACTATAGTTCCATTACCAACTAAAGCTATTCGTCAAAAAAAAGCTAATCACATGCCACAACACAGTTCAAAGCAAAATAGATGCAGAAATGAGGGTTGTTATAAAAAAACTACAGTTACCTGCAAAAAATGTGCTGTGTATTTATGTTTCACGGCTCAGATAAACTGTTTTGAAGCTAATTTTACGGATTTTATCGCGTATATTAACTTATTTTACATTCCCGACGTTTCAAGCACTTTACAGCACCCATGGTCACGGGGGGGACTGAGGTGTATGACGTCCCAATGTCATAGTTAACCACGGCTACCTCCAGATTAAAAATTATTAATTTTTGTTCCGATCTACGCAGTATGAACTTACAGTATCATGAAGTCTTGCAGTTGTATGCTTGGGTTGGGATTTAATTTTATTAATTATGGGATCCCAAGCAGATGGTAGCACCCAGCCATCTTCTCTATTGAGTCAACTACAAACTTACACTTAAGGTAGTGCTAATTAATGACATGAAAATGTTGACTTATTATTTTTTAATGCAGTCAATAACAATAATATAACGAAAATAATTTCTACAAATGTAATATTATTGGTGGCATCTACGGAGTGACGAAAAAGTTATCACATAAAATGAAAAGACGTATGCTACATAAATTTCCTTAAACATACACAACTAAAAAAATATATAACAATTAATACATTAGCCGCGGTAGCATTTTTTTCGTTTCAATATTAAATAACATCATGTAAATGCATACAGATATCACCTGATGAATTCTAGAAGGTCAAAGACCCATGCCATTTCAAGGCGAATATAGGTAGTTTAAAGGTTATCAAACCTAACTACTCAAATAAAGAAAAAATCAAACAAAAACTGCACTTACGGCTAACAATTTAAGGCATAATTTTATGCGCGAAATTAAAAACAAAGGGAACGCACGCTGCAGGCGTATGAAAACAAAGTCAAGCGAAAAATTTACTTAAAATAATGAGGTTAAGGCATAATTCTCTACGCGCAAAGTGACAAGAAATGGGATCGGGTGTTAATATAAATTATTATTTTTCTGGCGCGTGCGACGTTTTGTAAGTCACTTCAGGTCAGTAACCTATATATCAAGGCTGATTTATTTCTTGTCAATATTTTACCCTATTTATTTTGTTTGAAAAATGCATTTTTTATTTTCTTTTATTATTGTTTATTTTATTATTTTAACAGACATATATCAACTTGTATTAACTGCTGTGCTATTTAACGTGATAACCTCGGCGCCACCCAGTATAATATAATCAGGTTATTGGAGTTTAGACATAATATTGCAAAGCTTATTGCCTTGTTTGTAGAATGTGAAGGTAAATAATGTTTTCTTGTTAGAAAAAAGTGTTTGTATTAGATTGTCTAATCTTTTTTATATAAAACCAATGTACCTTTACTTTCCATTTTGCTTAAATGTCATGTTACATATGCCGTTTACTTAAAAGGTGAAGTGATGAAGTAATTAGCTATAAACTAATAATCGTTGACACGTGTTTTAGCGAAGTTACGAGAATGCTTATTTCTTATACTTCGCTAAAACACGCCTACCTCTAAAAATAGACTATTCTGCTTTACATAACTACTTAACTATTAAATCGATATTTATTTAAGAGCTATTGAGAACTGTTTACATGCATAAAGTTAAAAATTAGATAATTACTCCGTCACTTACGTCCATCAATGTACCAACGGTTTTTCTATGTACCAATGTGGACAATAATGTATGGACATGTAATGTAAATAAAAATTATGTATTTCAAAAACCACTTTTACTTGAAAAATAGTTCCTTTTTTATATTAAAATGATTGCTAATCGTTTCAAAAGTGGTTTATGAATGTAAAGTACCATAATTTACAGATAACTTTGTGCTTTTGTTTTCGTTTTAATTTAGCAATATATATCATTGAAACGAAAAACTACAAGCTATATCTATCTATATGGTATTTTACATTCTTAAGCCATTTTTGAAACGAAACAAGCAAGACGCCAACTAAAAAAAAAATCACATCAAAATTCCCGCGCAAAAAAGTTTTAGGTGGCACGACAGAGATGGCGTGCATTATGGGTGCCATTTTCTTTGTTTGAAGTTGACATTCTTCCCGCCTAAGGAGGAGTAATAGTGTTCTGTGGTATTAGTCTTCCTTATATATTACTATACTCTTTGGTATTAGTGTTCTGTGTTTGGGAGTGTTTGTGACGTCGTCGCCGCTCGCTGGCTTAAAAAGATACTCTGTGGCTGGCTGGAACTAGAAGGTAGAAGCACAAATTATAAAGTTGAATGCCGGAAAATATAACTATATTTTGGAACTCTTTAATTTAGAAAATGTATAAAAGTTAGTCAATCTTTTTTTTTTCTGCTTTTGAACTTTCCTTCATAATCTTGAACAATTTGAAAATGATGAATTTACTTTGAATGTTACTTATCTTATTTAGTTTGAAGTTTTTTATAAAAACTTAGTTTTCCGTTTTATTATCGTGTAAAAAGCTAACTTTCTATTCTTATATTTATCTATTGTGTAGTTTGTGGTACGTTACTTTTTATCTTTCTAAATCCTATTTGAAAGAATTATTGGTTTTTCTGTACAGGCATAATATTCTTTTTTTAGAATATAAAAACTTACTGCGATATTATTATCCTATATAAGCAGTAATTTCCTCCCTCTCACGTACGTGTTGATACATTTTTCGTACCACAGAATAAATAATAGTACTACGTAAGTTTTTCTACCTAAAGATAAATAGTGCGATAAGAGAAAATTGTTGTTTGCAAGATGTGACCAAGATTAAGAAAGGAATGATTCGGTGGTTTGGGTATGTAGAAAGAATGAACGAGGAAAGAGTGACAAAGCAAATTAATGTTGCAGAAGTGAATGGAAGAGTTTTGGAAAGGATGCAACAGATGAAAGTTTATCAACCAAATTGATGATATACTGAAGATGGGCCAGACAGATTAAGGCTACACTTAAGTGATGAGCATGCGTAGGTATATGGATGTAAAGGAAGTGACAGAGGTGTCAGGATCAGTGCCAAATGGAAGTCTGTAGTCTCTGCCTACCCCTCTGGGTGACAGGCGTGAGTGTTTATGTATATATGTTTATGTAAACATAATCTGACTAAAGTTAGCGCCCGCGCACTGAATAATCTCAATTATAAAATTGTTCTAACAATTTAGGCCAGTTGGAATTTTAATTAAAAGCTTTTTTCTATTGATTGTCACATGTAGCAGTACATTTTTATGTGTCATTTCACATGCTCATGCATAACAATGTATAGATCGAGGTAGAATGGAGGGTATATCGAGAAACCCCCTCTTGTGTCTGTAGTATAAAGTTCACTGTAAGTGCCGTGCACAAGAGATTCCGCTTAAGTCATTCAACGAGTGTGGTCACTCTACTAGTGCTAAGAGAGTGTCGTGGTTCTGTTCGTTGTTGTAATTCTTCTAGAGCAGTCAAGGAGGATTGGTGTTGCTGAGATGCTGTCCTGTTACATTGAGATAAGTAGTGTTGCTGTTGGTTTACATACTTTGGTGTTATCATGTAATTACGTACCTCACGTTACACTGGTGTGTGATTGTGGCGGAGACGTGTTACGGTGTGGTCGAACTGTAATTTCACTATACTGAATGTATAGTGCGTTACGTTGTCTTATTACTGATAATGATTAAACTGCGTAAGCAAGAGAGCAAGTTGAACATCCGCTCTCACATTTTTACTATTTTTAACAATTAACGCTATCCTGATATATTTTCGAGATCAAAATTGGAATCCTCTGTTTGTAATTCTCCGACATCAGAAGTGGGATGTCCTGTTTGTCATTTCCGATATCAGAAGTGGGATAAAGTCACTGTTACTGCCCACCTATAACCTTTGAATAGTGAATTACGTTGGTGAAATACTATGATGTGCCTCGCGTTTTGTTTTTGTGTTCAATTTCTTACATCAAGTTTGCTTGTCGTATTTACTACACTGACGAATCATTAAAGTGTAGAGTGAAAGTTTACAGTGAAATGTTTTAAGCCAAAAGTTAAATCATTTTGTTCGATTTATAATAAAAAGTACCCGCAAGTACTTTCATTATTTCTTAACGTACCCAAAATGGAGGTATTCAAAATGAGTTATAGTTTGCATTCAGTGGAAGTTTAACTTGCTCAAGTTATGCTATAATTTGATACATGAGGTGTGATTTACATGGGCTAATTTTAAAGTTTAAAATGTTTAAACGATGTACCGAAAAAAAATGTTTAACTTTAACGTGCTATTAATTAAAAACACTAAGTTGTACTTCTGTGTTCTAATGTGTTGATAAGTGTTACAGTTTACTGCGAGTATTACGTAGTCGATAAAATTGTGATTTGATGTTAAGGGTCTAGTGGAGAGCGTGGAGCTGTAGCGGTCGCTCTTGAAAGGAACTATGCTGTCGGCTTATGACGCCGCGGACATTTTATTTGCCGCTGCTACCGATCACCGTTTGATACAACATGAGTAAAGTAAATTTATCCTAAACATTGTCTTAAAAAATATTTTGTAAGAATAAGTGTTTACATTTTTAATTGGTTGCCGGAAAACCAAAGTATAACTGATGAAAGTGAAGTAGAGCCAATTGGTTCTGACATTGAAGAGAGTATTTAAGTTTACATGAGGATCGGACCATACCAGAGGTTGTCGTGTAGCCGCAGCTCAGTATTTGGTGCCCTAGAAAGGCGAATGGTGTACCAAGAGTAGTGCTGCATTTCTTGAAATCAAGTTCCGACTGAGTATTTTTAATGTTTTCTTTTATGTGTTACAGTAGCACGTGTGATGTGATTACAAGTGCGTGAGTGTGTGCCTTGCTGGTCGTAACTGACTGCCAGGTTCAGCTGTAACATGGCCTGGTTTCGGCAGATGCGTATGCGCGTATACGCAGGCGCCATCCCGGAGCGTGCGTATGCTATACATGGCGGTGCCTCGGAAGTCGTGTGCGCAGAAGGGTTATATTCTGTATGCGCGGAAGTCGTGTTCTCTGAACATGCATCAAGCTCCGTCCTGGCAGGCACTATCCTGGTTCACGTTTTTTTTTTTGGTTAACGTGGGATCTCGCAAGTTCAAGAAAGAGTATGTGTCAGATACTTGTGAAAGCGAAGTTCTTTTTATAGTCAGCGGTATGAG